AAGGAGGAAAAGGAGGAGGAGGAGGAATAAAGAGGAGGGGGATGAGGAGGAGAGCGCCTTATCAAGTCAGTTCGTCCTTTCGATTACGTTCATTATCTCCCTCCTTCTCTGCTCGTGGCGCCTCTTATCAAGCCAAATGTACATAATATTCTATACAAAAACAGGTTACTCAGGTCAGAGGCTGGGACAGCCATGCAAACACACATCTTTTCATGTGTTGTTTTGTGGTTTGGGGGGGGCCTATGTGCGCACAGGTGGATAGACGCTGAAAAACCGGATAAGCAAGTATTGCTTACAGTGTTTGCCGACCCTCCGACTTGAAAAACTTGTTGTTTGCAGTGGTTTATGGGTGAAAAGGGGTCCCGTATCCGCATTAAGAAATGATTAGCGCACCCTTAGTAATGAGTCTTTACAGAGGAGCCATGAATGAGGAATCCGTGTTGAGGAGTCGTCTGTGAAGAACCCTTCGTAAGGAATCCGCGCTAAGGAATCTTTAGTTAAGGAATGTTTGGTAAGGAGCTTTCTTCTTAATAAGGAGTCCGTAGCAAGGAATCTCTCGGAAGGAATCCTCAATACGTCCTCCTTCGTAAGGAATCCTGCCGAACAGTTTCTTGAACAACAGCGGAATCCTGAGCAGGGGGTGTTTCGGAAGGAATTCTTCTTACGGAATCCTCAGCGAGGAACTCCTTGAACTAAGCCGTTTCCAGGTAGCCCTTTAGTAAGGAATCCGTGGTGGTGAATCTTGAATGAGAACTTCTGATTGAGGGACCTTTTCGTGAAGAATCCGTAATAAGGAATCCTTAGGAGGGAGCCTGTATTGGGAAATCCTTAGGGCGAGCCCTTACCGACGAATCCTTACGAAGGATTCTTTAAGGAGGGAGCCCTGGTAAATGATGCGTACGCATACACCTTTCGGAAGGCCCCCTTGGTAAATAAACCTTCGTGAGGAGCCCCGTGCAAGAATCCGTTAGTGCGGAGCCCTTAGTATGGAATCTTTGGTAAGGGACCCGTATTAAGGATTCGTTAAGCCAGGGGCTCGTAGAAAGGAATCCGTCCTCTGAAATCCTTTGTTAAGAGTCCTGATGAGATATCCGCTGTGGGGAACCCGCAGTGATGAGTCCTTCGTCAGGGGCCATCGACAAGGCATATGTGCTAAAGAAAGTTGGCTACTGAATGCTTATCGATGACTTCTCGGTAAGGAACCCTTACTGAGGAATCCGTGATGGAATTGCCCAGAGGGGAACGATGCTTCAAGGAAGCCTTTAGTAAGGAATCCTTAGTCGGGAACCTTGTTTTTCAGTGAGGAAAGCTAAGTGAGGAGACAGTACAACAAGGAATACTTCATTAGGAACCCTCATTAAGGAATCCTTAGTTAAGGAGTGTGTGGTAAGGAGCTTTCTTCTTAATACGGAGTCCTTAGTAAGGAATCCCAAAATACGGATTCCTCAGTGAGGGCCCTTCAAAACGATTTTCTTAGCAGAAACGGAATCCTGAACAGGTGGTAGTTCGGAAGGAGTTTTTGGTACCGAATCCTTAACAATGAGCCCTTTGAACTAAACCGTTCATCCGGAGCCCTGGGTCAGGAATCCGTGGTGGGGCATCCTGAATGAGAACTCATTTTTCTTGTGAGGGACTGTTCGTAAAGAGTCCGTAATAAGGAGTTTTTTTTATTGGGAAGTCCTTAGGGCGAGCCCTTACTGACGAATCTGTAGTAAGGATCCCTCCGTGAGGGAGCCTTGGTAAGTAATGCGTGGTCATACACCCTTTGCAAGGACCCCTTGGTGCAGAATCCTTCGTGCGGAGCCCCTTTGCAATAAACTCCTTTTAATGAGGAGCCCTTAGTATGGAATCCGAATAAGGATTTGTTTAGCCAGGGGCTCGTAGAAAGGAATCCGTCCTCGAATTATCCTGGCGAAGGACCCAACCATGCGCAGTTGTGAATATCGCATTGCGGGTGCCGCTTTCGGTGGAGCTCCCTGTGGGGCCACGAAACGCTGTGCTGGGTGGGGGTGACGCATGCGGGCGGCGGCACTGGGGCCTTCGGTGGAGGTCCCTGTGGGGCCACGAAACGCTGTACTGGGCGGGGGTGACGCATGCGGGCGGCACCACTGGGGCCGTCGGTGGAGCTCCCTGTGGGGCCACGAAACGCTGTGCTGGGTGGGGGTGGCGCATGCGGGCGGCACCACTGGGGCCTTCGGTGGAGCTCCCTGTGGGGCCACGAAATGCTGTGCTGGGGTGGGGGTGACGCATGCGGGCGGCACCACTGGGGCCTTCGGTGGAGGTCCCTGTGGGGCCACGAAACGCTGTGTTTGGTGGAAGTGCCGAAATGGGTGTGCGGGACGCATGCGAGCGGTGGCACTGGGGCCTTCGGTGGAGCTCCCTATGGGGCCACGAAACGTGTGAGGGGTGTGCCGAAATGGGTGTGGCTGACGCATGCGGGCTGGGGCCACGAAACGTGTGAGGGGTGTGCCGAATTGGATGTGGCTGACGCATGCGGGCGGCGGCACTGCGGCCTTCGGTGGAGCTCCCTATGGGGCCACGAAAGCGTGTGAGGGGTGTGCCGAATTGGGTGTGGCTGACGCATGCGGGCGGCAGCACTGGGGCCTTCGGTGGAGCTCCCTATGGGGCCACGAAACGTGTGAGGGGTGTGCCGAATTGGGTGTGGCTGACGCATGCGGGCGGCGGCACTGGGGCCTTCGGTGGAGCTCCCTATGGGGCCACGAAACGTGTGAGGGGTGTGCCGAACTGGGTGTGGCTGACGCATGCGGGCGGCGGCACTGGGGCCTTCGGTGGAGCTCCCTATGGGGCCACGAAACGTGTGAGGGGTGTGCCGCAATGGGTGGGTGGGCCTATGCGGGCACACTGGGGCCTTCGGTGGAGCTCCCTATGGGGCCACGAAACGTGTGAGGGGTGTGCCGAATTGGGTGTGGCTGACGCATGCGGGCGGCGGCACTGGGGCCTTCGGTGGAGCTCCCTATGGGGCCACGAAACGTGTGAGGGGTGTGCCGAAATTGGGTGTGGCTGACGCATGCGGGCGGCGGCACTGGGGCCTTCGGTGGAGCTCCCTATGGGGCCACGAAACGTGTGAGGGGTGTGCCGAACTGGGTGTGGCTGACGCATGCGGGCGGCGGCACTGGGGCCTTCGGTGGAGCTCCCTATGGGGCCACGAAACGTGTGAGGGGTGTGCCGAATTGGGTGTGGCTGACGCATGCGGGCGGCGGCACTGGGGCCTTCGGTGGAGCTCCCTATGGGGCCACGAAACGTGTGAGGGGTGTGCCGAATTGGGTGTGGCTGACGCATGCGGGCGGCACTGGGGCCTTCGGTGGAGCTGGGTCTGTGAGCGCTGTATGGGGCCACTGGGGAAACGTGTGAGGGGTGTGCCGAATTGTGGACGCATGCGGGGCGGCACTGGGGCCTTCGGTGGAGCTCCCTATGGGGCCACGAAACGTGTGAGGGGTGTGCCGAACTGGGTGTGGCTGACGCATGCGGGCGGCAGCACTGGGGCCTTCGGTGGAGCTCCCTATGGGGCCACGAAACGTGTGAGGGGTGTGCCGAATTGGGTGTGGCTGACGCATGCGGGCGGCAGCACTGGGGCCTCGGTGGAGCTCCCTATGGGGCCACGAAACGTGTGAGAGGTGTGACGATGATGGTGATGATGACGATGATGGTGGGTGATGATGATGATGATGATGATGATGATGATGATGATGATGATGATGATGATGCTGATGATGATGATGATGACAATGATGACAATGATGATGATGACGATGACGATGACGATGACGATGATGATGATGATGATGATGATGATGATGATGATGATGATGATGATGATGATGATGATGATGATGATGATGATGCTGATGGGAGGAGGGAGGAGGGGGAGGAGGAGGAGAGGAGAGGAGAGGAGGGGAACGCGGGGACCGTTTCTTCAAAACGAGGACCCAACACCACAGGATGGTTGGGAAAAAAATCCTTGGCGAAGAGTCCTGATGAGATATCCGTTGTGGGGAACCCGTAGTGATGAACCCTTCGCAAGGAGCCCCGAATGAGGCGCATATGGCTAAATAGTTCTAATTACTGGGTTCAGATTGATGCCTTTTTGGTAAGGAATCCTTACCGGGGAATCCGTGATGGAATTGCTTAGGGGGGAACCCTTTTGAAGGAAACCTTGGCAAGGAACCCTTTGGAATGAGGAATCCTTAGTGAGGAGCCCTTAGAAAAAATCCTCCATCTGGAATCCGCAGAAAAGAACTCAGAACAAGGAGTCCTTGGTAAGGACTCCTTATCCTTGTTATGGGTTCCTTATTACGAAAACCAATATCAGGAACCCCTCAGAGTCCGCAGGATTCCTTCGGAATCCTCAGGGGCCTCCAGGAATTCTCAGGGATCCATACGAACCCTCAGAAATCAAGGGAAACCCAGTGATTCCAAAGGAATCCAAAGGAACCCACAGGAATCCTCAACAGAAACGCCAAAACCTCCCAGGCCTACATCGTGCCTGGTGCTGGGGGAGGAGGAGGAGGAGGAGGAGGAGGAGGAGGAGGAGGAGGAGGAGGAGGAGAGGAGAGGAGGAGGAGGAGGAGGAGGAGGAGGATGAGGAGGAGGAGGAGGAGGACGAGGACGAGGAGGAGGAGGAGGAGGAGGAGGAGGAGAACGACGAGGAATGCCGCGGCCGGCCAGGCCGCGAGGAAGGCGGGACGCACCGGGCCTCTCCTTACCCCCACTCGCTCACGATTTATTATTACTCTGGAACTGAATGCTTGTTGTGCGCCCTCTGTTGAGTCTCCGCTGGCAAAAAGTGTGAGGAGGGGTGGAGGAGGAGGAGGAGGAGGAGGAGGAGGAGGAGGAGGAGGAGGAGGAGGAGGAGGAGGAGGAGGAGGAGGAGGGGGAGGAGGGGGAGGGGAGCGGGAGGCGAGGGAGTGGGAGGAAGAGGAGGCGTCCCCCTGCCCCCCCTCTTCCTCCCTTTGTCATCCCCTCTCCCCGCCCAGTGCCAGGTGGAGGCCAGCCGCTCCTGCACTCGGCTGCAGGGCCGCTCCTGCCAGTTGCTCGGGACGCTGGAGCCGGATGCCTGCGGCGAGTGCGGGGGCGACTGGGCGCTCGCTAACAGGGGAGATCGAGCGGGTCTGCAGTTGGAGGAAAAAGGCCATGACGAATCTGGAGGAGCATGAAGGTGGAGGTGGAGGAGGAGGAAAAAGAACGCGGCACGAAGTTTGAGTTTTCGAGGGGTGGGGGGGCCAGAAATTCGTACCCATTCCTTTCTTTGGACAGTGGGGTTGAAGGCTCCATAACCAGCAAGAGAGGGGTTATGGGTTTTGGCAGGGGTTTATCTGGGTCTTTGCAGGTTCTTTGCGGGAGGGGGGGGGGCATAGACCCCGCAAAGACCCTGAAAGGTCAGAGTCTTGGAGGCCCCTTGGGCCGACCTTTGGCCCAATGCATCAAAAGGGGGGTAACGGATTCAGGCCCCCCCTCTTTCGGAGGAGGCTCACAATGACTTGAGCCGTTATTGGAGCGCTCTTGGGAGCACTTGGGGCCCTGGGTTTCTCTTGGGGATCTCTTAAGCCATTTTGGGGCCACCTTGAAGCCTCCCAGCCCATCGGCAGCGAAAAGGCGAGAACGCAAACAAATGTTGATGATCCTTAGGTTTTGGAGCCATGTTGGATTATTGGGGGATCCTTGGAGGACTCGAAGAAGACTTGAGACCGTCTTCGGGCGAGGCCTCTTGAAGGCATATCGGAGGCTATCTTGACATAGCTTGAAGCATGTTGGACCAGCTTGGACGTCATCTTGGTCTCTCCAAGGCCCTCCGAGAGCCATATTGAGCCAACAAAAACACCTTCTAACACCCCGCGGGGCACCCTGTCCAAACCCATGGGGGGAGATAGGGGGAGGGGTAAACCCCGACCCCGAGCAGGAGATTGAGGGGTCGCAGGAAGAGAGAATGCAAGAGTTCGCTAAACAACCTACGCCCAGAGGGCTGCTGGGATTTGTCTGGGGCGGACAGTTGGCACCAGGGAAGGGGTCGGAGCCGTTGTGGCCGCGCAGCGAAACCAATTACATCGTCGGATGTCTGGGAGCGTGCACGTTGCCAGCACATGCTTGGTCCGCGGCTGAGGGCCCTTTCAGAGCCACCTTCCTGCAGTCCTCGATCGCCCCCCCCCCCGTTGTTTGCCTCACCGCTGCCGAGCGCCCGAGGCGAGCTGGTGACGCTGCAGCTGCTGAGGCACACGGCGCTCAAGCACTCGTTGTTCTTGCAGGACTCTGTGCCCCGCCGCTCGCAGACGCCGCGTTCACCGACGCCGTCGAAGGAGACCACGGGGCGGTGAACTGAGTCGACCCGTCGAGAGGCCAACAGCGCCTGGTCCCGCGAGAAGAAACAAGCACACATGGTTCTCAAGCTGCCGATTGCTGAACTTGCGTTCCCTAGCTTCTGCATGGGCAGCAGGAGTTGGGCCGCTTCTTCTCTGAAGCCGAGGGGGGCGGGAAGGAGGGCGAGAGGAGGAGTAGCGTGGACGATAGTTAGTCGCAGGGATGGAGATGGGAGAGGAGGAGGAGGAGGAGGAGGAGGAGGAGGAGGAGGAGGAGGAGGAGGAGGAGAAGGTTGAGGGGGAACAGGGTAAACTCAAGATGCACCAGCGCTGCTGCAATACACCTTCCCGTCCCAAGTCACCTCCTCGCACGTCCCTACACGCTGTCTTTTCCATTACAAGAAGCACCACCCTTGAACGACCAGCATCACACGGGCCTGCTATGTTGGCGAGATGAGGAATCGCCTTGCACCTGGCTTGCGCATTACAAGAAATGCAACATATTTTCACCATGCAATTCAACGAGGTTTCCAGCGAGATGTCCCTTTCGGAAACAAGGGTTACCCCGCCGTGTTATTGCAGCACCGGTCTACACTTGTGGTCTTGAACTTCGAAGGGGGTATCAAACGAGAGCTCTGTTTTGGAAAAGAACCGCCTCTGATCCGTGCAGTACTGCATATGTTCAGGTTTCGTGCCTTTACAATGTAGGAGCTCTCAGGAGGGAGCACCACTGTGAATCAGAGAGAACCCATGATAACTGATGCAAGCGTTTGGAGACAATTGGCGCGGTGCCAATGCGATAGCACCATTTCGAAAAGGAGTTGTCCTCCACCCTTGAAGCTGATGCAAACTTTCAAGTAAAATGGATGCGGCGCTGAGGCGAGAGCCATATTTTGAAAACGGTCCGCCCTGAATCCTTAAGGGCCTTGCAAAAATGCTAAGACGAATGTGCCGCTAGGGCGAGAACCACATTTAAAAACGATTTACCCTCCACCCTCGAAGCTGTCGCAATTTTTGGGAAGAGTGTGTGCGGCGCTAAGGCCAGGGCCCATATCACCGCTCCCCTCGCCGTCTGTTGGGGCCTCTGCCACACATCTGAACCCTCCACGCGGCTGCCTCGGATGCCATCCGAGGCCGCCGTGATGGGGGTTCGCATGATGAAGCGAAATTTCGTCATAATGAAATGCTGATTCAGCTTGGTTTAATGGGATCACGCACTCCAGCGGGCCCGTTAGAGGGCCCTCCAGGGGGCCCGCGTCCTGGAGGTGCCGCGACAACCATACGAAGCCTCACACAAGCTTCTAGCTCGAATTCTAGAATAGAATTTTTCAAAGGGCCATCAGAGGCCCAAGCTGAGCTTCTCGTTCGAACTTTGGCACCACTAGGCTTCGCACGAGCATAGTAAAACACAGGGTGTTCAGGGGGTCGGCGGCCTATATTGAGGGGGTCGGTCGTTTCTGGAGGCGTAATGTCTTCAGCGCGTTGGGGGTCGGTCATTTCCGCAGCTCTTCGAAGTTCTTCGAAATCATGTTTGGGCGGTCCGGTCATTTCCAGAGTCCTCTAAAACGAGGGTGTGTGTCGGGTTCATGCCTATGATATCAAAGTGCACTTGAAATTATTGTTTTGAAGAGCATAGGCAGTTGTTATCGCAAGGTCCTTAGACGGTGCCTAAGATGTTCCCAGCATCATCTCACGTGTTTACTGCGGCGTTACCATCACCATCGCTTTCATCATCATCGCCGTCATATTCGTCGTCATCATCATCATCATTATCACCATCATCATCGCTTCCTCCGCCAGATCTGGATGGTAGGCTGATGAGGAGAGGAGGAAGAGAGGTAGGATGAGGGAACGAGGAACATGACGAGGACCGAAGGAGGAGGCGGAAGAGGAGACTACAGAACGACACGAGGAGACGTAGTATGAGGAGGAGGAGGGGGAGGAGGAGGAAGAGGAGGGAGGGATTTGAATTTAGGTCAGTAGGTCAGCAGGTCAGTCAATCAGGAGGCCAGTAGGTCAGTGCATAGGTCAGTGCGTCATCGACGATCCCGACGACTCCAGTGAATCCGACAATGATTCCGACGACTCCGGCGATTCCGACTCCGACGATGATTCATTGCGACGACGACGGCGATGACAGTTCCAACAACGACTTTGGTGACGACGACGGCGACGGCGACGGCGACGACGACGGGTCCAATGACGACGACGACGACGACGACAACAACTCCAACGACTCTGAATCCAACGGCGCTTCCGACGATGACGACGAGGACACTGACAAAAACGAAGATAACTCCAGGCTCCAACGACGACGATTCCGACAACTCTGACTCCGACGGCGACGACGACGACGACGACAGCCACCACGACCACCCCGACGACGATTCCGATTTCTACGACGATGACTCCGACGACGACAACGGCGACTCCGACGACGACTTGCACGACGCCGACTCCAGCTCCAGCCCCGACGACGAAGACGGCGACTGCGCCTCTGATGGCTCCGACAACTCCGACTGTCCTGGCTCCGACTCTGGCAAAGACGATATCGACGACAACAACGGCTCCGACTCTGGCGATTCCGACGATGATTGGTCGGAGTCGTTTTCGTCGTCGTCGAAGTTGAGTCGTCGGATTTGTCGTCGTCGTCGTCGGAGTCGTGGTCGGAATCGTCAAAGTCGGTGTTGTCTTCGCAGTCGTCGGTGTTGTCGCAGTCGTCGTCGGAGTCGTCGTCGTCGTTGCCGTCGGCGAAGTTGTCGCAGTCGTTGTCGCCGTCGCCGTCATCGAGGTCGTCGTCGGAGTCGTTTGTAGAGTCGTCGGGGTCGGAGTCGTCTGGGTCGTTGGAGTAGTCGTCGTCGTGGTCATCGTCTTCGTCGGTCGTGGTCGTCGTCGTCGTCTGTGTCGTCGTCGTAGTTGTCGAAGTAGCAGTCGTAGTTGTCGTCGGGATCATTGGATATTGGGTCTCAGTGGGAGTCTTCGTCGGTGCATTTGTTATCGTTGGAGTCGTCGTCGTTGGACTCGTCTTCGTCGTCGCCGTAGTCGAAGTCGAAGTCGAAGTCGGAGCCGTCGTCTGTTATGGAATGGGAATCTGCTCCCCCCCAGTCTCAAAGTACGCAGCACCTCGCAATTGCCGATAAGATTGAGCGGGCGGGCGAGGGGTAGGTTGCGGGTGGGTCGCGAGTGGGTCGCGAGGTGGTTCGCGGGGCGGGTCGCGGGGTGGGTCGCGGGTGGGTCGCGGGGTTCGCGGGCGAGGACGACGACAACAACAATATAAACATCAACAGCAACAACAACAATAACATAATCAGTTTCATGGTGTTCGTTCTTTTTTGCTCGCGTGCCACTCAACACATATATCCCAAACCCTTGGTACCCGCCCGCTTCGTCTTCGATCGTACCCCATTGGGGATCTACCTTCCTTACCTGCCACGTGCATGTAGCGCGGCCTTTAAAACAGGGGGGTCGGGAAGGCGGGCGCAGGCGGCCGGTTCGAACAGGTGGGTTGCTGAAGCGTGAGTCCATGAGTCGCAAGGAAGTTCCGAGCGACAGCATAATCCCCAAGTAAATCGCGAGAAAGGCTAAAGCGAGAGCGGAATTCCTCAGTGTCGAGGGCGTTGTGTCTGAGTAACGTGTGAGGGAATCCCACTCAAGAGCGCGATTCTGTATACGTTGTGAGGGCGTCCCGCGCGAGAGCGCGATTTTGGAATTAATTGTGATGAAGTATCAGGCGGGAGCCGATGTTGTTGTGGTTGTTGTTGTTGTTGTTGTTGTTGTTGTTGTGGTTGTTGTTGTTGCTGTTGTTGTTGTTGTTTTTGTTGTTGAAGTTCGGGGTGTCAGGCGGGAGCCATTGTTGTTGTAGTTCGGGAGGCAATAACACACTTTGGTGACACTATACTTTCCCTGGTTAACAAAAACTGGATGCGAGCCCCGAGGGGGCACTGCAATTGAAAAGGCACAATGGTTACTGGAGGGAGGGGATCAACAATAGCCGCTCTTCATTGGCAGCAACAACAACAGTAATACATGTACGATTGTTCGCTCTCACTGGCACGCGTGTCTTGCATTCTGTATACCCCGGCCCTCGATACCCGTCCACTTCGTCTTTGATCGCCCAGGGGAATATCTTCCTTGTCGGCCATTGACTGAAGTGCGAGGAACTCTCGAGCGAGAGCGCCATTTTTGAGTTTCGGGTCTCTTTGGCCAAGGTCTTTAGAAATACATATTGAGACATATCGAACGCGAACCCTTGTCGCCGTGTCTGGGCCTCTACCAGCTTGCTTGGATTACGTGAAAGTCTCGAGCGAGAGCGCCACTCTTGAGTTCGGGGGCCTCTCTAGCAAGGGCGTCTGAAAATACATCTTGAGGAACTATCGAACGAGAGCCCTTGTCATCGTACTTGGGCCTTGGAGGGGGCGGGGGAAGGGTCGAACGAAGACACAGATACGGGTCTTCCCCCCTTCCCCTTCCCAGGAAGGCGTAAACTCATCAAAGGAAGGGGGGAAACGAGGGGGAAGGAACCAGGCATCCGACGATATGGTGCTCCCACCCGCGGCATACAAAGTCCCACCAACACCCAGGGGCCAAGTTTTTCGCCCGGGCAGGACGGTTGACTGCTGCAGTGCGGTTCCAGGGTCCAAAATCCACAAAGACGCCCGGATTGAAACAGTCATGTTTTCGGATGTCTGGGCCCGTCTGAAAGTTCGATCCCCACATGCGGGTGGGGGGGCGCGAGGTCTGGCCGGGCGTCTGCAGGCCGCCGCCGCTGGAGCAGTGGCTGAGGCGCAGCCTCGCCAGGGAGGAGGGCGCGGAGGCGCCCGCGAGCGAGGCCGGGTCCCCTGGTCGTCGTCGCCGTCGTAGTCGTCGCCATGCTTCGGCTCCCATGCAGTCACGGGGAAACGACACCGTTCTGCCGCGGACGGCGTCCGCTCTACCACTGCCCACCAGTTGTCACCGTCCCACCACTATGGGCAACCGTTCTACCACTTGGCCAGGCGACCGTTCTGCCACTCAGCCAA